GGCGGGGGAGGTGTTGTGTTATTTTAGAAGCAACTTCAGAGTTAATAAACCACAGTGTTTTGGAAGCAAACTGAAAATAAAGCAGTGACTTCCGAATTAAAGGGATGGTTAGGGGTTTTTTTGGTTTTGTTTTTAGAACAGTTACCCACTCCTCAATGGATTATTTCAGTGGTTTAATTTACTGTTCTAAGTAATCAATTTTTTCTTCACTTGTGAATTGTATAAAATACTTTCCTTTCCCTTCCATATACTCTCCTCCTATCTCATTTGGCACCTCCTTCTCACAAAAGCCTTTATGCTGTTTGTGCAGGCTTTCTGGGTTACAATGACGAACTAAAACACAGGCTCCTGGCAAAGCAGGAGTATCTGCCCAGTTGCACTCATCAGCGTAAGAACAGAGCCTGTGCTGAGCTGCTTTGGCTTTCTACTGAAACAGGCCGGTGCCAGGCACACGGGCGCAGCTGGCTGTCCCCACGCTGCAGCTCAGCGACGGGAATACTGCTGCAAAGACCTTGAAAGAATCATTAATGCTATAACGTAAACAGGACACGAGAAAACAGGTCAGCCACATTCAGAACAGCAAAAGTACTTGCCGAAAAGAAAGGAACAATGGTAAAACATATATTCTGTTTTCTATTAGCACTGTTCAATAACATCGCCAAATCCGCTACTTCAGTTCCCAACATTATTCATTGACAAGTCTTTCCAGAAATTAGTTTGTGATAACATTCATTGCTTATGTGCTAATGTTATTACCATATATTGTCTTTCTGCCTTACAGTGTACACAATACTTTTTGGATCTATGACAAAACAGTGAAGCTTATAAGATAACGTATCAAAAACTCAACAAGAAATTTAGATGCAGTTTCCTCTTCTCTCATTCGTAATTTCTAAATTTCTCATAAACTACTTAAAGCTATACAGGCCTGCAGCTCGTAATCCACTATTTTTATTTTTCTGTTTTTAAGACTTCTGCAAGTGTATTCAGTACGTATCCTTTTTTTTTTCATTGGGAAATAAAGGTTAGATTTTCAAGCAGCTGGCCTTCCTTTCTGAAATTCAGTACTACACATCTTCCTCCCCTCACTGATCAAAGCAGTTCCCCTTTTCACTTCATTAAAAGTAAGAGCCACATACTGGTGCTCCTGGACACATGGCACCTAGAGCAGCATTCACATGTAATTCCCTAAAGGTAAAAGCCTGTCAACTCACTTATCAATGTTCATTCACCATCAGCAATACACTTCGACTGGCCCAAAGAAAGAGGCAAACCAGCTCTTTGAATTCTCCCCAAAGTGCATCATGACTGACAGCAAAGGTAATATAGATGCACATACATCTGGGGGACTCCCAAAAGAAAACTGCACTTGCATGACCCATCTCTTCTGCGCTAGTTCCAGAGTCCTCTTCGTGCACAACCCTGCTGAGAGCACTTCACGAGAACCTAATCTTGAAATGAAAAAGGAGAGCTAATGAAAAGACAAGTGGCATGCAGCAGTAGCGTGGACTCACACCCAAACTTTTTGCCCCAGCTCTTTTGCTACATCTTCTCAAGCAGGGCAGTAATTCAAACTAGTTCTCTCCTGCAACATTAGTGAACTCAGGCTAGCTAGACCCATCTAATTCCTAGACAAGATGTATATACTTGTTTGAGATCTTTGCCTTCAAAAGCTCCTGAAAGGTTGAAAAGAAACTGCTAAAAATACTTGCTCAGTGGCAGCACCCACTGAACTTTCTGGGATTTTTCTGCTTTTTGAAAGACACTGGCCTTGTTAAGACTGTTTTTTAAAAAAATCACTGATTCTTGCAGGGAATCTGGTAAGATGAACTCAAACTCCACGAACAACACAAAGTCTTGTGAATGGCAGGGTGAGTAACTGTAATAATAAAGAAAAAATAAAATCTAGACGTTTTAACCAAAAAAAGTTATTTCAAGAAAGTTATCCATAGCAAGAATTACATTATTCTGTAACTTTGTGAAGACAGGATGGATTCTTTCAAGCTGAACACTGGAAATAGCAAGGAAAACCTTATTAATAGCAACCACAATTTTGTTCTTTGCACTGAGCACCGTATAGGTCTGTTTTAATAAGTTGCCTGCTGGCTAGAATGATAGCCGTTGCAGAAGAGAAAATAAGGCCATTCTTTACCTCTCAAAGGTTCTCAGTAGGGAAATAGCACTCATTCTCCTAACATCCCTTTCTGAGGCAGCCAGATTCACTGCACATCAACAACTTCTGAATTAAACCAACAGATCTCTGAGATGGTCTCCATGTTACCGTGGCATTCTACAAAACACAGAGCCAATTCAACAAAATGAAACATCATGAAATGAACAAGAACAAATTAGTTTTACTTAATCCAGAACTATAAAAGTGTGAGATTTTAATACAATGTAGTTGTTTTGCAATAGCATGTAAGGCTTATATGTAAAAACCAAAAACTACATAAATGTTCCAGGAATGAACATACAGACTATTACAGCATTATGGTACCTGATCATTACATTTAAATTAAAACAATGGGGGAAACCCCTAGCTCTTCCCCAATTCCTTTTCCCTTCATGACCATTAAGAATTCTAGAGGATCACCCAAAAGCACCCAACTTAACCACTCCAAGGCATCAGTCCTAAATAAATATGCTATTCATTATTTCATAATCATCAATAGCTGGAGGGCGGAGAGGAGGGGGAAGCACTTTTTACAGAGTTAGTAAGAGACATTTAGTGAGAATTTTAAAAAACTTGAGGTAGACATTTTTCTTCACAAAATCTGGAGAAATAAAACTGTTCTACAAATACACAGTTAGGCTCATATATCAGTATATCATATATCAGGTATACGGTTCATTTCGTATATCAAGACAGAAAGAGTGCTATTTGCACCCCGCTGAAGTCAGTTACAAACTTCTAATTGACTTCAAAGTCATCCATTAGCTTTTAAACAAGCTTCTTGCCAGTAGGTAATACACCCCTCTTGCTCTCCTAAAACAAGAAGTAAACTGAATCTTTTTATTTATTTATTAATTTTACTCACTGAGAAGATAAAACTAAGAATTTCTAGAGGCTGGGTACATTTTCATCTGCTCACTAACAAAACAGTGGGTCAGTAAACAGATGTAATGAACTTATTCCATATAAGTATCTGTCTTTGATTGTCATGCATTAATCTAAACCCTGGCACATCTTCTGTCGCACAAGGTACACACATGAAAGGAAACATTAACCACCTCTATTAGTCACGATGTATCACTACTACAGCACCTCTTCCTTCTCCTCCTCCCCTTTATATGTGTAGTTCTGTTTCTCGAGATTTTCCCAGAAAACCCTAATTGAAGTTATAAGCACCTGATTCAGTGTTTTAGCAGAATATACAAATGACAGGGTTAAGAAAACAGTTGGAGAAATTTTTCAGGATTTATTGATCCAGAAGAATGTGCCAGGAGTATTATGAGGAATTATGGATTAGGGAGAACCAATGCAGTATTTGAACGGCTGTGAGGAGGAAGCTAGTAGTAATAGTCTGACTTTTAAGAATGGAGAGAAAGAAAAAAAATACAATCATATTGCTAGTGAAGTTTTGCCAGTCTCATTCCTGCATTTGAAAGAATCTACCACTTGTTGTTTTCCCATTTTATGGAGGGACAGTAGACCTTCGAATGGGACAAGGTTCTGGAGGAAGAGCCATCAAGATTTCATAATATGAAGAAACC